AACCCCAAACCCCAAATCCAAAACCCTAAATCCTAAACCCTAGAACCCCAAACTCTACATCCTAAAAACCCTAAATCCTACACCCTAAATCCTAAACCCTAAACTCTAAATCCTACACCCTAAATCCTAAACCCCAAATCCTAATATTTTTTTTAGCCCATAAGGGATTCGAGACCCTGACCCTGCAAAGGCTCTATGAAATCATGCAGCCGCCCTGCCACGGGTCGCTCAAGGAGCCGATCTGCATTATGATTTAGGGGTTCGGGTTCAGGGTAGTTTGCTGGCTTGCTGGTAAGGACTTGAATATCCTTGAGTTAAAGTTACTATAGTGGGGAAGCCTTATTACGTACTATTACACCCATTATGGTAACTTAATCCCAAAACCCTAAAACCCTCTAAACCCTAAACCTATACCCATTATGGTAACTTAGTTCGAGTTCCTTAGCAGCTACTCAGTCATTTAACGGCAACCCTGTTTGTGGATGATTCAGGACGCGGTTTAAGGGTCTTAGGTTGGCATCCGGGGTTGCTTGAAAGGCCGGGTCTACATAGGGTTTAGGGTTTAGGGTTTAGGGGTTGGGGTATAAAGGCCTTAGGGTTAAGGATTTGCAGGTTTGATGGGGTACGTACTGCATAGGTATATAAGGACCCCAGGATTAAGGGCCCATACGAGGGGCCCATAGTTCCAACCTAAACCCTAAACCCTAAATCCTAAACCCTAAACCCTAAACCTTAAACCAATGTTGAACGAGATGTGGAGTCTTACTTTTTTGTTGAGTCGGACCCTCAGGTTGGGCCGTAGGGTTTAGGGTTTTTAGGTTTTGTTTTTTTGTAGGTTTTGGGGTTTTTAGGTTTTAGGGTTTTTAGGTTTTGTTGTTTTGTAGGTTTTAGTGTTTTTAGGTTTTGTCTTTTAGTAGGGTTTAGGGTCAAGGTTGTAGGGTTTAGAGCTTAGGGTTACAAGTAAGTTCAGGTCTGGTTTTTGGGTCTTACATGGCTGGTTCGAGGGTCAAGGCCTCGGGTGATATGTGAGGTTCGTACTTGGTGGACTTCGACGTTCAATCACTAACGTATGCTGCGGGGTATTCAGAATCCCAATAATTAGAAACTCCCATTGTCTGGCTTGAGAAGCCCAGACACCCTAAACTGCAAACCCTAAACCTGTAAGGGATCAACAGTTGGGAAGCTTCACAAGGTTACATTGCGTGGAGGATCAGGGGGACTTTGTAAGTCTATGCTTATAACCCCTATATGCCATGTACTAATTCCAGTTATCCCCAATATCAACCTACTTACTATGTTCCCCTTATCCCCAAGTGGGAACCTAGGACATTTTTGAGCCATTTTCTGGATTTTCAGGCCCCTGAAGCCTCCATCCTAGAACCTAAGCCCTGTATGGCTTAGGGTTCAAGATTTAGGGTTGAGGGTTTGGGGTGTAGGGTTTAGGGGGTCTCAGAAGCAGCCTCGTTTCTTCATGCCTTCCGCCCTCCCCTTAACCCCAAGCCTATAACCCCGCACCTTAAACCCTGAACCCTGAACGTTAAACCCTAAACACTGAACCCTAAACCCTGAACCCTAAACCTTAAACCCTGAGCCCTAAACCCTAAACCCTGGTGGCATATATATATATTATATACATGTAGAGTCATCCTTGAACCTTTCTTTGCTTCTGAGAGGACCTGGTCCAACGCACCGAGGCATGTCAGAGACTCGTATCTTTAGGGGTTTAGGTCTTAGGGTTTCGGGCTTGGGGCTTAGGGTTTAGGGTTAGGGTTTCGGGCTTAAGGTTAGGGTTTAGGGCTTAGGGGTCTAGGTTTCAGGGTTTAGGGTTCAGGGTTAGGTACTCTAAAGGTTGTTGTAAAGCAGGGATGAGTGGAAATGCCCCGCCTTCAAGCAAGGTCCTAACCAAAACAGCAAGCCCATCTCGCGGACAGGTATTTTGAACAACTACAGGACCGTTTGATCCAGGACTGTGTGATCTTAGTCGTAGGTATATCTGAGGCCCTCTAGACAACGATGAGTGGATGGGGGGTAGCCTGAGGTATATCAACAAGCACCTAGATACATTGAGAGTTCCTGCAGGGATGTCCTAGGGATGTCTAGGGTTTAGGGATCAGGGTGCATCAACACACACTTCAGTCGGTCATGCCAGTATCCAAAAGGGCTCTCTTTGTCATTAAAAAAATGTTAGCTGGCAAGTCTCAGAAACTTCAGAGCGCGGCAAGGGCCCGATACACTAGAATACAGGAGGATGACTAGCTGCGATTAGGATCTTAAGTACGACGCAAGGTGTCCTCCTTACACAAGGGGTATTGAGTCTAATGGTTTTCAAGTTTAGCTTTGACAACCTCCTCTTTCTTACATAATTTAGGATTTAGGGTTTAGGGTTTAGTGTTTTTCAAAGTTGCATTCCTACTGCATTGCCGGTCTTAGAGCCAACCTGGCTTGCTTGATCCACATGTGTGTTCTTTTCTGATGCATGCACGTTGTGGGCAGAGGGCTCGAAGTGACCTTACAAGACTCAGGTTTGTACGCTCAAGATTTGGACTCTTGGTTTTCGGTTCCCAAATATCATAATCTTTTGAGGTCCTAAATCCTAAGCCCTAACCCACATCCCTAAACCCTAACCCCTAACCTGAATCCCAGATCGCTGTGACAGAGGCAGGCGCTGCTGGCAAGAGTAAGCTGCATGTGCTTTGGGGAGCAGGTGCTGCTTAGTGCCGGCTTGAGGTTGAGGATTAGGGATTAAGGGTTTAGGGTTCAGGATTTGGGTGTAGGGTTTAGGGTCTAGGGTTTAGGCGTTTAGGGTTAACGGTTAAGGGTTTAGGGTTTAGATCGCAGGTGCACTTCAGGTTGTCTATGGAAGCCCGGTTAATAAGATATTTTTTGTCAACCATTTGGCTTTTCTTGGAGGTACTAGCAATACGGATCCTAATATGTTTGGGTTTGGTAATTTCTCAGGCTCCGTCCACATGCAACCCTCCCGTAGCCTCGTGGGTCGTTCAGAGAGTGCTTTACTACCCCCACCCTCCGCCTTCCCGCCCCTAATAGAGCTAACAGGCTTTTATTCTTATGCAACTGAACAACAATAGCAAGGTTGACTAATGTAGACCCATGATTAATAACCCCCCCTCCTTTTAAGGGCCTTAATATTAGGATCCCTGTTATAATCCCTATTAAGGGGACGGGGTTTATCAATCACGGGTTTGGGTTACCATTATTTGTACTCTTGATGATGCTTTTTTTGATTGTTAAAGAAGCTGGAAGAGGTGAGAAGCACGCAAAAGCATTTGTGGCTGCGCTGGCGCCGGTACTCCTCTTGGACAGTGATGCAGCGGCTATGCAGGAGCTTAGGGAACTAAGTACGTAGGTCATGAGTTATGAGGAGGGTTGTATACAATACCTTCGGAGGACCCCCACCCTGTAATAGTGGCATAATGGGAATACAAGAGGAGCCTCGTATAATTGCCCCCTCCTAATGTAATAAGTTATGAGGGGGTTACATGTATAACTCCCTAAACCCTAAACCCTAAACCCCTAAACCCCTAAACCCTAAACCCTAAACCCCTAAACCCTAAACCAGTATAAGTGTATGTCCAAGTTACGAAGTCCCTTGAGCCTTCACGTCCTATGAAGGAGCTGCTTCAGAGTTATACGGAGCTGAGCAAACGCCATGAAGATCTCCTTTCTCAGGAAGACCTAAAGCATCGTGCTGGTAGCTAAGGGGTTTAGGTCTTAGGGCTCGGGGTTTAGGGTTTAGGGCTTAGCCTTTAGGGTTTACGGCCTAGGGCTTTGGGTTTAGAGTTTAGGGCTAAGGGTTTAGGGTGTAAGGTTTAGGGTTCCCAGACCTCCTAAGTTATTCCAAGCGGGTCTGGGTGCTTAGCATCGAATGATAGGGGTAGTGCTGGTTTATTTTGGCGATCGCTTGAATTTGAGATCCTCCCGGGGTCTCTGTGCTTGGTGGAGAATGGAGGAATGGATCAATACCATAGCCACTATGTCATCCCTAAGAAGAGTTGCTATGTCCTATTCCTTCAGTCCCTCCTAACAACCCCAAACCCCGAACCCTTAACCCTTAATCCTACACCCTAAGCCCCCAATCCCGAACCCTAAACCCTGCGCGCTAAACCCTAAACCCCAAGCCCTTTACCCTAAGCTTTAAGGCATCTCGACCAGCAGACCCTGCGTGCGGCCCTACGTCGCATGACCTCCGCAGTGAAGGAGATCGGGGATGCCATGGATCCTTAGCGGGCTTTATAGTCCAGAATATAGGGTTTAGGGTTTAGGGTTAGGGTTCAGGGTTTAGGGTTTAGGGTTCAGGGTTTAGGTTATAGTCCTCCTGAAGTAGATAGAATATCGAGTATATGGGGATCTTTATAATATACCCAAAGCCATGTTCTATCTACTTAAGGGGGACTACAGCCTGAATCTGAAGGTTTAGGGCGGGTAGGGTTAAGGGTTTAGGGTGGGTAGGGTTGAGGGTTTAGGGTTCAGGGTTTAGGGTTCCCTAAACCCTAAACCCTAAACCCTAACCCCTTGGGTTTAGGGTTTAGGGTTGAGTGTTTAGGTCAAGGGTGGTCAGTCAGTTGACCGGCTTTTGCCTTTCTCAGAGGACTCGAAGTTTCTGGCTCTCTGCTTTCAATTTCCCAGACCCCCTAAAGGATCCAAAAGCTGGAACACCCCAAAATTGAACCCCCATTATTGCATTGGGGAACCTAGGGGACTGTTAAGGGTTCCATGTTTGGGATCCTTTAGGGGGTCTGGGTTGTTGTTTGTGATCCCGCAGACATTTGACATGGGTTTTTGTCTATTGTAGGGTGGTTAGAAGTTTGACGTTCTGGCTTACTACTTGCTATAATAGGGAAGCTACAAGCCTAACTTGTGGGAGGGGTCCCACAGTCAAAACCCTGAACCCTAAGCCCCAAACCCTAAACCTTAAACCCTAAGCCTCAAACCCTAAACCTTAAACCCTAAGCTCCAAACCCCAAACCTTAAACCTTAAACCCTAAACCTTAAACCCTAAACTCCACACCCCAAGCCTTAACCCCCAAACCCTAAATCCTAAACACAGTCAGCTAAGAATCAGACATTGGAGCTGGGACGCCAATTTCTGAAAGCCTTGAGGGCTGCCAAGAAGCCCGAAGCAAAGCCATGTGACTTACTGGTGATTAGTAGATACCTTAAAGGGGTTTATAGGGGATATATATATATATATGTATGGGGGATATATAGGGGATGTGTAGGGTTGTGTATGATTTAGGTTCAGGTTTAGGTTGGAGGGTTTAGGGTTTTTAGTGTGGTTCGCAGGGAACGCAGTAGCAGGACATAAGGACAGGTGTAAGGGATCATGTGGAGCTCAACATTGAGGGTGAAGGGAAGGGTGAAGCTCTAAGGGACAATGCAAGGGCGACCATAGTGATCCATAGCTGGGCACCAGATAGGCAAAGACTTCACCATAAACCCAAAGCCATAGACCCTAATCCCTGCGACTTATGCACCCGAACTACCAGTTGGGGCAGACTTATGCATAACCCCATAACCCCCCAATTTTCAAGTATATGGAGGTCCAGGATTCTGGTGCGTCGGTTATGAGGGGGGTTATAAGTAGGCCAACCCATTAAGGGGTCTATAACCTTGCGTACTGCTTAAGAAGTCCCAAGTAGGTTTACGGCCCAGTTATAAGTGACCCGTAACTGGGAGAGACCTTTAAGTACGGTGCCGCTTTAAGCCTGACCCTAAATCCCCAACTTTAAGTCCTCAAACCTTATAGTCCTAGACCCTAAAGTCGTGGCAAAAAACGTTAAATCCCCTAAACCCTAAACCCTAAGCCCTAAACCCTAAATCCTACATCCCTAAACCACAGCAAGGTGAAGATGTGTCCGAGTCCAGTGGCCTTGCCACTGACATCGGTCATCAGCTGCTGAGCCTTGGGCAACTCGCTAAGAGCCTACAGGAGGAGGGGGTGAAGTTCACCCGAGCCTGGGTTGATATGGGAACTACTATTTAGGGATATTTAAGGGTTTAGGGGTTTAGGGTCTAGGGTTTAGGGGTTTAGGGTTTAGGGTTTAGGGGGGTATTATAGGGAGTATAAGGAATATTGGGATAATGGAAAAGAAAATGGAAACTACTGGATATTACGTAGGGTTTAGGGCTTAGGGTTTCCCAAAGTTAGGGATACCTTTTTCGGGTCCCTATAATAAGGACTGTAGTATTTTGGGCTCTATATTGGGGTCCCCCTATTTTGGGAAACTACCATATTTAGGAACTTCCATTAAGTCAAGGTTTCAGGTTTAGTGTTTCGGGTTTCGGGTTTAGAGTTTAGGGTGGGTTGCTGTTAAGGGTTTCAGATTACGTTACCGGTGCCGGAAAACCATATAACTTATCCAACTTATTACTCATCCATGTTATGGTGACGTCGTAAGTCCTTCAACAGCCCTACATCCTACAACCTAATTCCTAGACCCCGACTTATCTAAGCCCCCTAAACCCGAAACCCTAAATCCTAAACGCTGAACCCTAAACGCTGAACCCTAAACCCTGAAACCCTAAAACCCTAAACCCTAAACCTTATATCATATTCCAAAATATAGGAACTTAACCTACGTCCCTAAACCCTAAGTCCTGAAACCTTAAAGCCCTAAAGCCCTGAAACAAAAGTCCCTAAACCCTAAAACCCTAAACTTAGGTAGCCAAACCCTAGGTAATGATAATAAACCCCAAAACTCTGACCTTAAACCCTAAACCCTAAATCCTAAACCCTAAACCTTAAACCTTAAACCTTAAACCCTAAACCTTAAACCCTAAACCCTAAACCCTTAAAAACCTAAAGACCTTGAGCCCAGGATCTGCAGCACCGGGCACGGACGGCCGCCAGGGTTCCATGGACCCTGGGCCGTTGTCTAGGTTTAGGAGTTAGGGTTTAGGGTTTAGGATTTAGGGGGAGTTAGGATTTAGGGTTTAGGATTTAGGGTTCAGGTTTTTGGTAACCTCAACTCCCGAACTTTGGATTTGCAGGGCTTATGTGGGGATTACATACGGAGTATACAGGGATGTAGCAAGGTAATCCCAACTGCCAAAACTAGAATAACACTATTGTCATGTGATAGTTAGAGGCTGGGGTTACCAAATTCCACTTTTAATTTGTTGTGTAAGATCTCACATGTACATATCTGTCTGAACCCATTATAGATGAACGCGGCAATGTTCTTGTCACTTCAACATGGTTCGAGGACAGAGCGCGTTCGTCCTCGGATATCCCACGAGCAACGCGGAATATGCCGGGCGTGGAAAGCTACAACCGCCAGGACAGTCAGATAGCAATGCTCGAGCCGGCTGTAAGCTAGCTGTTAAATGTGCTCCCTGCAAACCCTAGACGCTATACGCGAAACTCCAAGAGCGTAAACCCTAAACCCCTACACCCCAGACCCCCAAACACTAAACCCGCCCGAGCCGTGAAGGACCTTGATGGATCAAGCTCGGAGGCTACTTGTAGCTGTGGCGAGGAGCATTTCCGACAGAACATTTGTGGTTTCAACGTGCATTCATTGCGTTTTCCACTGGCTCCCAGCCCCTAAACCCTACATCCATTGTTTTGGACCGGAACTCTAAACCCTAAACACCCCTGGCATCTGTGTGCTTACAGGAGCTGATACCCTGCAAGCAAGCTCAGAGGCCCGCGAGTCGTTCCAAAGCACAGAGCTCCGGTGGTGAAAGCGTGACTTGCTTGGTTTAGGGTTTAGAGTTTACAATGTCGGGTTTAGGATTTAGGGCTTAGCATCTGAGGTTTAGGATTTTGGGCTTGGTTTAGGATCTGGGGTTTGGAATTTAGGGCTTAGTTTAGGATCTGGGGTTTAGGATTTAGGGCTTAGGGTTTAAGACTCAGGGTTCAGGACTTAGTGCTTAGGGGGCCGAGTGAGAGACTTGGGGATTGGGTTCAGGTTTTAGGGACAGGATCTCCACAATTTCCACTTCTTAGAAGGGTTTAGGGTTCAGGCTCTCTTGAAGAGTAACTGTTAGGTGGACCCCCTGCCCGTAATGATGATTGTCATGATAATGGTAACTATATATTAGGCCCCTCATATTATATTCCTAGTATGCCAGTCTTGCAGGGTGGGGGGGGGGTCCACCTAAACCATCGATACTAAGTACTAAGCACGACAGTTTTCTTGAATCCCCCCAAACCTTTGTCGTTACCCATTCAGCCTGAGCCCCGAACTCCAAACCCTAAGCTCTCAACCTTGATGTTTAACTCCTAAATTCTAACCCCCAAGCCCCCACACCTAAGCCGTTCGAGCCCTAAAACCTAAGGCCGAAGCCCTACACTTTAACACCAAGCCCTAGACTCCTGAACTCTTGCAGAAGTGCTTCAGCAAAAGGAGGTGGCGGCTGGCACGAAGCATCTTAGTCCAGAAGGGCTCGTGCGCATCGGCATTGACAACACCAAGGAAGCTAGGGTTTTTAGGTTTAGGGCTTAGGGTTCCGGGTTCAGGGCTTGGGGTTGAGGGTCTAGGGTTTAGGTTTTGGGACCTTGGGGAACCTCTACTCCCCTTATCTGGGCTGTAAAGGATTTTAACATGGGGATTAGATAGGGATGATGTGGGATGATAAGAGGATTTTGGTAACCCCAGCCGAAAAAAAAACATTAGGATGACACTGTAGTGATGTGATAGTTACAAGGTTCTAACTTTAGAGGTTTGGGTTACCAAAATCCACTGCTTAAGTTGTTGCATAACATCTCACATGTACATGTATACCTGCACCTATTATCGGTGGAAAAGGGAATGGTCTTATTACTTCAACATGGTTTGAGGACAGCGCGCGGTCGTCTTCGGATATCCCACCAGCCACGCGGAATATGCTGGGCCTGGAAATCACCAACCACCAGGACAGTCAGCAGCGCTTGAGCCGGCTGTAGGCTAGCTGTTGAGTGTGCTTCCTGCAAACCCTAGACCTTAGACTTAGACGCTAACCCCCAAAACCGTAAACCCTAAACCCCAAACCCCCAAACACTTAACCCACCCAAGCCGTGCAGGACCTTGACGGATCAAGCTCGGAGGCTACTCGTAGCTGTGGCGAGGAGCAATTCCGGCAGAACATTTTCAGTTTCAACGTGCATTCCGTGCAGGGTTTCGAGTCTGGGGCTTAGAATTTCCGAAAAAACACGATCCCCGTATGCACCCAAATGCAACTGAGAAGTTATTATATGGGCTCCCATAAAAGGACCTCTAGACCCCATCTTTTTGACCAGAACACAAAACCCTAAGCCCTAAAGCCTCAATATACCTTGCATTTGTGTGCTTACAGGAGCCGATACCCCGCAAGCAAGCTCAGAGGCTCACGTGTCATTCCAAAGCACAGAGCTCTGGTGGTGAAAGCGTGGCTTGCTTGGTTTAGGGTTGAGAGTTGTGGATGTAGGGTTTAGGATTTAGGGCTTAGGACCTGGGGTCTAGGTTTTAGGGAGAGGAATCCTACAATTTTCCCTTCTTGAAAGGGTTCAGGTTTAGGGTTCAGGGTCTCTAGAAGAGTATCTGTGAGGGGGGATCCACCCTGCAATTGTGATCTAGGATAATGGTGATTATATTAGGCTCCTCTGATATTCCTATTATACCAGTCTTGCAGGGTGGTCCACCTAAACTATCTACACTAGGTCCGACAGTTTTCTTGAAGCCCCCCAAACCTTGGTCGTAACGCCTTGAACCTGAATCCCAAACTCCAAACCCTAAGCTCTAAGTCCCCACCCCTAAACCCTAAACTCTAAGCCTGGAACCCTAAACTTCAAGCCCCAAACCCTAGGCCCTAGACACTGAACTCATCCAGAAGTGTTTCCACAAAAAGGAGGTGACGGCTGGCACGAACCCTCTTGCTTCAGAAGGGCTCGTGCACATCGGCATTGACAATGCCAAGGAAACCGGGCTTATGTGAGCTATAGTCTAAACTCCTAGTATCCCCCTTAATATCCCCTATAGTAGTCCCCTATATAGCCCCCTTTAAAGAATTTAGACTACAGCTCATGTGATTTTGCGTGCTTAAAACGCAGGTCCAAAGATAGGCCCCCACACAGTGTCCATATGGGATCCCACCACACGGTTTAGGGTGTAGGGCTTAGGGTTTAGGGCTTGGGGTTTAGGGTTTAGGGTTTTAGGGTTTTAGGGTCAAATCCCTTTACAACTCCTATGCATCCCTGGGGTCCCCACTTCAAGATGCTCCCATGTATTTTGAAGTCGGAGTCTGCTACAGATTCAGGGGTTTAGAGTTTAAAGGTTTGGGGTGGCCTAATGGGCTAGTTGCGTGCGTTGTGCCCGCACATGGGAGGTTGCCAAAAGTATAGTCTCTTTTTCGGCACCTTGATTTTTAGGGGCTAAATTATATTGGGGACCCAAAAACGGACCACTACGTTGAAAACCTACCACATGACCGAGAATGCTGTAGCTTTGCAAGGAGGAGGCCATCAACCAGGAGACAGCCATTACTGCAAAGCCTTCCCATTCTCCCGAACCAACGCCAGCATCTACGCGGTCACAATGTTCAGACTGACCAAAGCCGAAATCACTCGGACGTGTACAGAGTACAGCACTTGTGCCGGGTGTGTAGAGGATCCCTCTTGTCGGCTGAATGCACGGACAGCGACTTCAGTGGGTGCGTTTTGACGTCAGCTTGCACTTGGAGGCTTCGTAAAAGGTTACCTCCAGTATCAGTAGACCTTCAAAAGTATGCCCCTTGCTATAAAAAGGGACTGAAACCCACGAGCCTCCAAGAATCGGTAGGTGCTGTCCCAAAGGGACTGCTTAGGTGGCATTGCCTGTAAGTTGCAGGTGTGTTTACTGGGTTGGCCTTTGGGATACTTAAATTTTTCCTAAGGACCCTATATACTAATGTTTTTCAAAGGGTTCCAAAGGCCAACTAAGTTTAGTGAAGCCTGTCAGGCTTACGCTCTATCACAGGGTGTGGGTTTGGGCTTCCACCTCTTGCAAAGGCTTTCTGGGTTGATGTTGAGGAGCTTAAACTACTGTACCATATTATGGGTATATTGTAAATGTTGAGGAACTAAAACTAAGATACCATATTAGGGGTATATTGTAAATACCAGGATTTCGTGATTATGTTGATTTACTTCAAGGTTTCCGTCTATCCAAGAAGCAGAGGGTAACAGAAAGCCAGTGGCTTCTACAACCCGTTTTGCTCCAGCCGACTTGCGGAAGGAGTGCACAGGCTCTTGAGGCATGCGCAAAAAGCACGGCCGGGGACTTAAACTCCCACAGAAGGCAGACTAGAGGGAGAGTCTGGGAGTTCATGGGGATCAGGAGGAGACCCTTACTGGCCTTCAGCGTCAGGAACATCTTAGCTCTGGGGCCCCATGACCTTCAATCAAACCCAGGGTAGAGGCTTCAGGTATAAGGTGTGGGGTTCAGGGTCGAGGATGAAATCCTTTTGTGGCCTTAATGAACCGAAATACTGTAAATTTCCAGCAAGAAGGGCATTGGCTTTGGGCTTTTTGGGTCCGAAACTCAGAGTCCTCCACTGCTGTAGCCACCAAACACAACAGGATTGAATACTCCCTTTGGCGGTAATATGCTATACGCATAGAAAAAGCTAGATCCACCCGCTTTCCAAGGAATCTGCTATGGAGGGTTTACATAGGTTTTGGGGTATAAGGTTTGGGTGTCAGGTTTACCCTAAACCCTCGCTTACCATTCTTAGGGTTCCCACCAAATTTCCTTAATCTCAAATTCTCAAATTTCCGAAGCTTCAAAATCAAAATCCACCCCCCCCGCTCCCCCCCAGAACCTTAAATAATGGTGATCAACTCGAATATTGGGTTTTAGGGACTACTTTAGAGATCCCTCCCTTTCCTTGCGAACCAGAGCTAAGTCAGGGGGAGGTTCTGGGGTTCGGGGGGGGTTCTTTTTCATTGCGGTGCTAACGGCTTTCGTGGCCTGGGGTTTGGTGTGAAGTTGCGACTTGAGTGTGGAGGCCTTAAAAAATCAAGCTTCAGGAATTCATTGGGTTGAGGATTTAGGGTGTAGAGTTTAGGGTTTGGGGTTTAGGATTTAGGGCTTAGGGATGTTTAAGGTATAGGTTCAGTACTGCCCCCCCTCAGTAACAGTTGGATAATAGATATTATGGTTATATATAGCCCTTAATAGGACCCCTAGTAACATAGACTGTTACTGGGTGGGAACAGTACCCAAGGTATAGGGTTTGAGTGTTATGAGCTGGAAAGAGTCTGCAGCACAGACGAGGCTTTTGGGTCGTAAACCTTCCACCCGAAGCTCAAAACCACGCGAGATGTCGCAGGTACACCTATTCGGAGCTGATTGACCTGAACCCTAAACTTTAAACCCTAAACCTTAAACCCTGACCTTTAGACCCTAAATCCTTAAGCCTTAATCCTTAAATCCTAAATCCTTCAACCCTAAATCCTTGAACCCTAAATCCTCAAACCCTAAATCCTCAAACCCCAAATCCTTAAACCCCAAATCCTTAAACCCTAAATCCTTAAGCCCTAAATCCTTAAACTAAATCCTAAAACCTTAAATCCTAAACCCTAAACCCTAAAGGTTTAAGGCTTCAAGTTGCCATCATATGGGCAAAGGTAAATAATAGGATTTCCTTATCATGGTACATTAAAATGGGTTTAGGGTGTAGGAATTCAAGTTACCAACATATCGTAACTAGTGGGATTACCTTATAAAAGTAGTTTAGATTCTTCAACAGCAACCCAGATTGTCCTTCTATCCGGCCCTAGGATTCCCAAATTGTGGGGGTACGGGTTTTGGGGAGTCCCGGCTTGGGGAGGCCGCGTCACCGTGAGGATCGCAAGCTGTTCATGCACAGGGTAGCTACCCGTATCGACCAACCCAGTTGCACGGCTAATGTGGATGGAGGAACATCTCGCGCGGCTTTTCACAGTTTTCCTTCCATTTTCCCGGACCGGTCTATCACAATCCCCCTTCAATCAACACATAGTCCCTAGGGTACCACTATTTTGCAGCCCCCAGCCCCCCCCCCGAACCCTACGCGGTACAGCTTCAACTCACTTCAACCCCAAGCTCAACACCCTAAGAATTTCCCAAATTTTGGCAAGCCGCACATGACGCAGGCGGACGCGGTGTATGCTCAAAACTGCTGACCAGTGACGAGGTTAGCCCGTTGGCATCCGCTTCGCCTACTGGTGGCTAGCAAGAAGATGGACAACGAAGTGGAAGTTATTCCGTAAGGGTCTAGTTACCTTAATAATGGGGTCCTAGACTAGACTCAATATTGCGTACTTGGCCCCCTAGGGACTATAGGGTTTAGGGCGCAGCAGTAGTGGAATCTCTGCAGTAGTCCCTGTTCAATCATGAATAGCTAATGCTCGCCTAAATTCCAGTCCATCATCTTCTACTAATCACCAGGAAGCTTGGAGGTGTGCAGAGGGTTAACAAAAGAATTGCCATGCGCTTGCACACGGTTCTTGTGCTGCCGTTGTTTGTGATCGTTTGGAGTGGCACATGTCACAAGACCGTGAAATCTCCCTTTGGCCCAAGCTGGCAAGCAACCGGCAAATTACCAGCTCTAGGACATAAGCATGGTCTCCCACGTAACCAGTCATTCGCCTGCATATTCTAGCCACTTTCAGGCCTATTTTGCAAATCATGTACAGGTCTAGGCTTAGCAGACGGTACTAGCAGCAACATCGAGACTTCGCAATCCAAGCTCTGCACTTTTCTTCCTGGAATTTCTGGGAGCAGCGCGGACGTGTAGGCAGCAGCAATCGCCCCGTAGGAGGGCGCCGGAGTCCCAGCGTGCTCTGGGATTTCAGTATACAGGGTTCTATAGGGATAATGGAAAAGAGAATGGAAACTACTGTAGTACATTGGGGTTTTGTTGGGATATATATATATGTATCTATATCTCTGTGTGTTCTTCCAGGGTTTTGGTGCTTGGTGTTGCGGGTTTGGTGCTTAAGGCTTCGGGTTTAGGGGTCAGACCCTTCGCCGAATAATCAACCCTTTCCGCCCACACGGATACATGTTCCCATTTCCGTACATTCTATATTGCAGATGTGGAGTTGTAAGGGAGTTATTAGGGGGTGGTGGGATGTGATTAGGTGGAAGGGGTGTGCGTAATGTCGAGTGGCAGACTGGTGCTTGAAGCTGTTACGGGATATCTTCACCCTCCTGACCTGTAATTCTGAAACATGTACCTTCGCCTCAGACATCACAACCCTGAACTCCAAGCGTCAAACTCCAAACCCCGCACAGTAAGATGCAAATCAAAGGCTTACGCAAAACGGCTTACAATTTAGGATGCGGAATGTTACATGAGAAGTTCAGAGCGCTGACGATTACGATCCCAAAGCATTCTCCACCCCTAAGCCCTAAAACTCTGCAACAACTGCACCCAAAAAACGAAACGAGCTCAGCCAGTGCTCCAAACCTTGAACTGGTTTAGTGTTCAGGGATTAGGGCACCAGACTGTCTTTCGCATCATCGAAATAAACCCCATATGTAATCACACTTTCCTGTTCATTTTCCATGTTCTTTCCATTGAAATCTAATTTCTCGGGTAATATCCTTAAATCTTAAACTTTAAACCCTAGATGATTCCCCATATAACCCCAAGCCGAAATAACCCCAAACCTCAACCCTATAACCCCAAGCCGAAATAGTCCCTGAACCCTAGACGCCTAATAGTTTCCATTTTTTTCATTATCCCTAAACCCTAAACCGTATAACCCTATAACCCCAGGCCCCAAGCCGAAAGAGCCCTTGTTCAGCCCTTTCAAGAGCAAGGCATCTCGTGATGAGCCTCGGCGGGAAGAAGCCGGCCAATGGAACCTCGGCTTTTAGCTTAAAACCCTACACTACACCCTAAGCCCCCGCATTTTAGGTCCAGGTTTCAGGATTCAGACCGTAAACCCTAAACCGTTTAGGTACATTTCTTTAGGGTTCTAGAGTTTAGTTCCACCCAACTAAACCCAAACCGCCAATCTTTTTCGAAAGGATTATAACTGTAACTTGGGTTCAGGGCCTAGGTAGAGAGCCAGCTTAAAGAGCCTACCTGATTAATAGACACCCTCCTCTTAAGGGCGTTAATATTAGGATCCCTATTATAATCCCTAATAAGGGGAGGGGTTTTTATTAATCAGGGGTCTTCCTTATCCCCAGTGTTGCGCGTAGTATTTGAGGGTTAGATGTTGGGGCTCAGGGTCTTGGGATCAGGTATGAGGCTTGTGGCGAGTTGTAGGTCTTGTAGGCAGAGGGCGGCTTACGCTGTCCCAGAACGAGGGCCGGAGATTGGCAATCTCCAAACTGGTTTTTCTTATTCATATCAGGTTTCCAAAAATTGGAGGGCCCCCATTTTGGGCTCATATGTGGGATTGTAGCGTTGCAGTACGTTTTGTGCTTATGTTTGGGCCTCCCATTTGTGGAAACACCAAATGGCATCTTCAGATCCCACAGCCTGAAGTTGCATTCTTTGCGTATTAGTCTCAGCTTTGATGAAAAGGTCTAGGCCTTAACGATTTTGGGGTTTGAGGTTTGGGGTTTGGC